CCAGTCTGAATTCAGATGCTTTATGCAGCTGTGACTCGTCAACCACTCTGTGAGTGGGAGAGTCTGTGATATGGTGCATCATGGCAGGAGGGTCAGGTGATTTCAACATTGTCTTTGCAGGTCATAAATCTATACGTATGTCTCCTTAAAGGAACAAACTATATATGTTAGACAACTCAGGATGATCACCCTATATGTGCACTTTTGAGATACTACTTTCTAAAGCTGTTCTACATTCCTATCTGATAGCATTTCTGAATCCCTTCCAATCACATCACAGGAGAAAAAGGGAGAAACACATCTTAATTCTGTAAGTAATTCACAAGACTGCAGTGCCATTGTGTTAGTGGTATTGTAGAACAAACTATTTAGGAATAATTAATTGCTTTCATATTTTTGTTTATATTCTTCTCCCCCAATTAGTGTGGACTGTTGCAGTTTCTTATAATAAGAAAATTCAACAAATGGAAATTGGCTTTTCTCTGAGTTGTCTTAGAATAAATTATATGCTTTCAGAGGAAAGACAGACATGCCTGAGGATAAAGTAAGGTATGGTATCTGTGCACACTGGATAGAAATCTCTATAAATATGATATTGGTATCATGCATACTTAAAAGATTAGTGTCAACACAGGTTATCTATCATGTAGGGGCAAGTCAAGCAAGTTAGACCTGCCTCAGGGATGGTTTAGCCTATATATCCAACTACTCAGACAATGTTGCTGTGGCTATTTTGGAAGAAAAGACTGAGGGATTATTTTTCCATCACTCCAGGCTTCCCATTCATTGGTATTGGCTCCATTTCCTCCATTGGGCTTTGATGGGTACAGGTGATTGGTGTCCTGTTAGTCTTATTAGGATAAGTAAGACCCAAGTGGAGCAACATCTCCCCCAGCCCTCTTCCCCAAGAGGAGTTTTATGCAAGCTGTGCATCAGTTGCACAGTGGATGGAACACACTGGAAGTAGATGATGATTTAGTCCATGTGGACATTTTTCTGTCACCGGGCAATTTCCAGGGCATTTAATATTAGATTTTTAATTATTTTTTGTAAATTTTATTAATATACTTGGTTTACTTCTTTGCACAGCTACATGTTTTATGGATTAATGGTGTATGGGTGTTTTGTATAGGAAATTCCATGTTGTAAAAGTTCAAGAATAATTTTTGTGATATAGAATATAATGTGAACCTTTATAAGTACATAGCATTGAAAAAATTGGAAAATACCTAGTTGGGGAAGCTTGACAGCTCAAGAATCATATAGGAATTGATTTATTTCTCTGTGCCACATGAAAAAATATATGCTTCTCCCAGCTCCACAGAACTTTTATTTGGACCCACTGATAATGTAAGCCAGCCTTCATTTGTCTAAGTAGTAATGTAAAATAGTATGTAAAAATTAGCTGATGAGATCATGGTTGTATGAAGGTCTTTTCATTGGTTCATTTAACTTTGGACTGATTATAAACATAGCTACTAATGAATTTTGTGTGTTCTTGTTAATTATAATGACATTCAGTAGTGCTCATCTGGTTATGAGCTTCTGAGTATCTTACTATCACAGAAATGTGAATTCCTGGAATCAGGACAAAAGGAGGTGTCTCTTTACTATTTGCAGTTCTGCAGTTTATATAATATTCTTCAAAAATCGTATTTTTTGTAGTTTAAATTAATGTGTTGAAGTAGTTTAAATATAATTAAAATACGCAGTCTGCTAGGTAAATTTACATGTTTTCATACTTTTAGAAGCTATACATTATAGATTGTAAGTGATGTATTTTCAAATAAATTTCAGGACCCATTGATGTAGTGCAATTTAAGACTTGTTCAGAAGTCCTACTATGTATTAAGAGTTTTTTTAATTGTGTGAGTCCTATATGATAAATATTTGGAAGCTACAGATACCAGTGAATGAATGTTTATGTCTTTAAAATACTAAACAGTCTCTTTAGCAAGTCATTTTTGCTTTAGTGAAACTAGTGGTGATTTCGGCTCAATCGATCTGATTGAAAAAAAGCAATACCTAATATTAACAATAGATAGCCCTCAACCAGGTTCTAAAATTTTCTTGCATGCTTTGGTGAGTAGTGCTTCATCAGAATATTTTATACAGATACCCACTTCAATGCAGTTTGAACCATTTTTACTCTAGAAGAAATCTGAACAAGCAGGTCTTACCTGAAATAGTGACACATCATGGCAACTGGATCTATCAAACAGGAGACCTGCTTAAGTGCTGTAGTGCACTTTGGTGGGATTTACATTTTAAAAAATACCAAAGACCACCATTAAGGCAGGATAAAGAATAAAACCATGTTGTCTCAAATCAAAATATTATCTTGGAGGCAGTGTACAAACATATAAAAGGTAAACTTATCCTGATGATTTGTGATCTAAATGTGGAATAAGCTAAGAGGTGATGGCAGCAAGTAAATGAATGAGTTAAAGAAATAGCTTGCAGCACATGGGTGTTGTATTTATTTAAATCAAGTTTCTAAGTCTTCATCCAGGAATGAATTTGACTTTCATTTTAATTAAGTATTCTAGGGATTTCTGACACAACTATGACAATTAACATTCTGTCAGGATGCTTTTAAAGCTTCGATTAACAAGGTGTGTGAATTTGTAAATTTTTAAGGCTCAGATGGAATTGTTAGATGTTGGAGAATGGGAAGATATCTCCGTAAGCCCTGTCAGTAGGGGATAGATAAACAATTAAAGCTCTACCTGCTGGGGCCCAAGGGATGGAATCTTCTAGCTCAGGTGGAAGGTAGAGAAATGTTAGTGTTAGACTGGAATAACTGGAATGATTCAGATCCAGGTTTTAGGATGCTAACAAAAATCAAAACAAATCAAAATTTATAATGGAAGTAATATTATTTTTTAGGAGTCTTCTGCCTTTGTCAGGTAAACCACACTGAAATGTGGCATAAATGAAACAAGTCAATAAATAAGATTCTAAAGATGAAAATTTGCATAGTTAAAAAGAGAATTGGTAGGCAAGACCTGATATCTGTCTGTGACCTGTCACACCTACTTTGTGCCATCCTCACCAATTTAAATATTTCTTATTGATTTCTGAAGAAGTATAGAAATCCAGAAATAGACCAAATAAAATTAAATTGAGATTAATAATTGTAGTTTTTTTCATATTAAGACTAATTACCAAAAATACTACAATGAAAAATTTCTTCTGAAAAGGCTTTATCTCAACAAAATGGGTCATATTTTGGTACAGGATTTCATGTATAATAACTGACTGTCCTGGCTTTATTTCTGAGATGAAGCACTATGTGATGTTTGATATACTCCAAGCTAAGAGAACTGATAATTTGAAAGTATTTCGGTGTAATGGAGTATAGGGAAAAAAAAGAAATACAGAATATTTGCATTTGAGGCTTGCATATTGTCTGTCAACAAGATGTAATGTTGAAGAAGTAACTGTAATGTATATTTAGGTCTAGAATTCAGGTGCACAAGAAACTTCAAAGACAGAGACATAGCTATTTAGAGGCAAAACTGCAGCCTTTTAATGGGAAATAGGTCAGTGAGATGAATGCTTTTCACTTGGTTGGTTGGACATTTACATTGTGGATCCACGGTGACCACGTGACCATCAAGCAACGTTTCATTGACACATATTTTACTTTTCAAAAACTTTTAAGAATTGCCACCCACCTTCACTGCCTCATATTTGCCTTAGGTTTCTTACCTGTTTTTTAACATTTTCTTCTCTTTTTTGCTTTGTATTAAGCTCATAAGATATCCTTCTCATTTCCCAGTGCTGTCCTACTGTGCAGGGGTTTCATGTAGTGTTTATTTCTCCAGCCTGTCATTCTTTGCTCTCCCTTCTTCACTTGCTCTACTACAGAGGCTGCCAGGTAGCTTTCAGTTTTCTAGGAACTTCGACCTTCCCAGCAGGTTTTGTTACACTCTACAAACAAAGGAAGCAGTTAGAACTGCAGCTCTTTTAAATGTCCAAACATCTTGTAACAAAGTGTGTATTAATAATTCCAGTTGGAACACAGATTTTTTTTTTTCTTAAACTGTGGGAAAGAAGTCTTTTCTTTAAAAAATTTTACATTCATTTTACTCTTCAGCCTGCTTCTGTCTGACCTTGTCAGCAAGAGAGAATTGCCAAGAGGCACCATCGAGAGGCTGGTAGGATCTACTTCAGAGATAGCAGAGTTTCAGGCATTGAGTCCGTGTCTGTATTAGTAAACTAAACAATGCCTGAAAATATTTCCATGTCTCTGCCACAGTGAATGTCTTTGCAAACTAACATTGTTCCAGAAAATTCCCAGACATTTCTTTGACCACCTCCATTAGACAATTTTTATGGAGCCCTTCTGTTTCAGAATATATGTGACTAGGCTACATAGGTGTAGAATTATTCTACATCCTACATAGATGGAGGATTATCTGTGCCAGTTGATTTCAGGAAAGAGAAATGTGCTGAGGCATAGGTGTAATATAAATGTTCTACAGACCTGCGTGTTCTTTATTTCTTCTGCCTTGTCCAACCTTCTCTCTTCATTGCAGTCTTCCAGTCTCAGCTTCAAAGCTGGTTGGTTTTTTTTTTTTCCCTTTTTGCTTGTCCTTTTGTCCTTCCTAGCACACATACAGATTTAAATTTTATTGGCATGCTGTCTCCCAGCTTCTGTCCCTTCCTTCAGATGACCCTGTGGACTTACTGGTAGTGATATTGTGTGCAGTTCTCTGCCTGAAACAAACTACTTCAGGGAAGCCTTTGTTTTGTTTGCCCTTGGTTACTACAATAATAAAAATAGAATAAAAACACAGGACTAGAATTTGAGTAATGCCTTAGCTGTCTGCTGCATGGAAGAAACTTGGTGAACAATTATATTTCTTTGTGGACTACATTTAATCTTATTACTTGTTAAGGGAACAAATTAGAGGGAATGATTAAGCCAGATTCTATGTTGGTTTTATTAAGTGATTCTAAATAGCTGTAAACATTTCTCTCTGTTTTGTCAGGATTGTGGCACTAGAATTGATCTTGGACATCACTTCAGTTCAAGGTTGAAGTTAAAAGATCTTTTTGAGGCTTAGAAGAAGCAGGTGAGTACAAATCAATCATCACAAGTCAAAGAGAATTTTTTTTTGCAACTTCCTTTTGTCCCAGAATTGCAGTTCTTGCTTACCAATCCAAATTCAACTAGGTGGTGTCTGCCTTCCCTGATTCATTGAAATGTATGACTGCTTGTATTGGGACTAGATAGCAGACAATATCTGATTCATTTAGCATTTCCCTACATACCTTCTCATGAAAATAGGTGAAACCATGGTTCAGTCACCAAGGTCTCTGGAACTCTGGAGTTTACTTACACTGTACAGTTTCATTACATCAGCTGTATTAGGAGCATGATAATTAGGCTAATTTGTTTTGAAAACTGTTTTAGACTGTATCTCTTGTGAAAAATCAAGTTTTAAAAGGCAAATACATTATAATAAATAGTAAAGAATTCCTGAGTTTGGATATTCCTTGTTTCTTGAAACTAGGATGATCTTTATTCCTTTGGTAACCAGGCATGCCATGATGTCAAGGACATAGGATCAAACCTTATTTCAGCTGCTGTGTGTGTTTACAGGCTGAACCTGCCTGGGACAGCACACTGTCAGTGGGTACAGTGCCACTGGAGCCTTGGCATGCCTGCACTGAATACCTTGCTTTGCTCCAGACCTTCACAGCTGTCTTCAGTGCATCATGTACAAGTGGTTATCAGGTCTTTTTCACTTAGACTGGAAAAGGAGATCCTGAAGAAGTTAGTGTAAGATGAGAGCTTAGCAAGGCAGTCACATTTATTTTGGGGTTTTCATTATTGTTATTGCAACAAAAAAAAAAAAATGTTGAGTGTTGCGGTTGTTCATATTCTACATTTCCTACCGAGGTATAAAATTTTTTGAGAATATTCCCAGAAGTTTTCAAATCCAAAGTTTTTAGGCAATATTTTAACATATAAATTGCAAAATATGGTCAATTTGGCCTGATACTACATTTTTATGATACAGATGTCAACAGGGTACAACAAACTTGCCAAAATAGTAACCAGACCAAATTCTTCTGCGTACACCAGGAATTAGAAAAAAATATGTAAATACAAATAATGTCATGTGTACCAACTGCTAAAGTATTACTAGATACTCTGATATACCTATATACTCCATAATATTGGTATACCCATCTTAATGTATTGATGCCTCTGGAAGGAAAGAAAATAAAGCTGTTCCACAGGAGTTAATGATTATGACAGTAATTAGTCCTGAAACTATGTTTATAACAAGTTTTTTTGAAGTTTTACCCTCTCTGAGGAAGAACAGCCCTTTTTGACCTAGTTCAAAGTAGGGTAAAAGAAGGCTGTTCTGGTGTGTGTTTCACTGTGACTGTCTTCACTGGGTAATAAGAAAGGAAAATTCCTTTATTCTGATTTAACTTCACCTTTTTCTAAGGAGTTAAGGCACTGGCTGGAAGGCTACAGTATGAATATGGTGAAGCCAGGAAAAGAAGAAAGGTTAGGTGTAGCAGTGTTGTAAGTCAAAGGATATACAGCATTGTACAGGGAAACTGTAGATATTACTGCTATCGTGCAAACCTTTACATGACTGTATGTTAGTATGTAGTAATATATTTATTTGCAAAACAGTGGGGTTTTCTTCATTATTCAGTAGAAAAAAAGTGAGAAATATCAGATTCTTTGCTTTCTATGTAGCAATGGAAATATGGCTGGATTTCTGTGACATATTTATTTGTACTTGCCTAAATGGTGTAACTTGTATGTAGTTATGTTAGATAGTTTTTTGATAGTGTCAGTATTTTAGAAAACTGATAGAAGCTGGAGTTTGGTAGAAACTGTAGTTGAAATCTGTTGAGTCAGCAAGAGTGTTTTTGTTTTTAAAGGATATTTTCTCTGGAAGTTTACTATGTTCTGACAAATAATGGGCAAAATGCAGTGTAACTGAGTTGTGCAACTCTGGTATTTTGGCAGTATAATTTTATTGAATTCCAGTATGTCTGAAACTTAAAGCATATGAAAGAAAGTAACTGCTGTTCTGCTTCCCCCATTATTTTCTTCCATAATTTTAATATTCTATAAAAATGCTTTCTGTAAAGGAAGCCAAAATCTTTTTGGCCTTTTTAGTATTGGTCTCTACTTCTTGCAGTCCGTGAAAGTGGAGAAGGAATGTTTTTGCAGTCAATGAGGAAACAGTAATGAATTCTGAATGCTCGTTCTTCAGTATGGTATTTAGAATCAATAGTTTTTTTATGGCAGGATATGGTGTCTTTGAAATGATTGAAAACTGAGATTCAGTTATAAATGTAGTGATAGATATGCATAAAAATAAAATTGCAATTATGAGTACATTTTTAATCAACAGGGCGAAGAAAATCTGGTTTTTAATCACTTAACTCTATAGGAGTAAGTTTTAGAAAAACTGAGACAGTGCTCAGAGAAATGTGAAAGCAAAGAAAACGTGTTCTATTTTCTGACTGATGACTCAAATAGACAGTATTGAGACTGTTAGTGATGCATTTACATCTATGTTTTCTGAGTTACTTAGGCTTTGAAAAAAGCTAAATAAGTGCTGGTATTAATGATTATTAAATTGAGCTAGCTCTTCTGTGTTGTCAGTTTGGAGAAGAGGTGGCATTGTGCTCATTCCAGTTTATTTGTAGTACTACAGGAAACAAACTTGAAACATCACGTCTCATGTACATGTATATGCATGCATTTGGATACTATGAAATATTTAGTCTTATATGCATATGTTTATTTTGTAGAGGGCAAAGATAATTATACTGTTAGATTAGTACAGAAGACTATCTCATGAAGGTATCTAAGGACTCATTGCTGGTGACCATGTTGGTGACCAACATGTGAGAGATACGATGTTTTCCACTGCCTGCATAATGGACTGGCATTAACTTTGTTCACAAGGAAATCTAAACCTTTCACACGTCTGCTCAGAAGGCAAAGGAGTTTTAATACTTGTGTAAGTGAATGAAAGGAGGGTATACAGCATAAGGCTGGAAGAGAAGGATGGTATCTGCTTTGCAAGATGTAATTAGATGGGGTTTGATGGGCTTTGTCTTTAATGTGGTTTCTAACAGGAAGCATCTGAAACATAAACAGTATTTTATGCTTTAATTTAATTGTATTAGAGCAGTGACCGTATTTATTTTAGAATTTTGAATTATCTTTCCAGGGTGATTCTGAGTAGCTATAAATTGGTGATTTGGGGGGAACCTGAAGTCAACTTTTGTCAAAAAGTAGTGCACATTGATAGAATTGAATTTGACCTGGAAATATGAGGCAGTAAGTTTTTACTATGATTATACATAATGTCAAACTATGGATTTAAACTGGCCAGCTTTTCAATTCAACTAAACAATAAGTACAGTCTTAATGGTCTGATTTGCTGGGAAGAACACTGTTGAAATAATCTTGTTTTTCACAGCCCATATAAAACATGAACTTGCATCAGTTATTACAAAGTTTGTGCTTTGGGAGGTATTTTTGTGACATCTAGGAGTGATGCTCCACATTTGCTGGAATTATTTGTTAATGATGCTGTCTTGAAAAAGGAGTTATTGCTTAAATACATTGACTTTTTTGTGGTTTCTAGCACAGAAATTTTTAAGGGAAAGATACTTGAAACCTGATGTGTTTTTTCAGCTGTATGAAATGAGGAGAAAATGGTGTGCATCTTAATTTTATGTTTCTTTTTCCTATGTGACATGCATGGGAGAGGTGAGAACTCTTAATTTTTAACTGAACTGAATTCAGGTTTCTAAATGTGGCCTGCTTGAGAACAGAGGACCATTACTGTAGTTGTCATGTAAAATGAAGTTGGAGTCTGAATCTCCTTTTTAGCTGTCAGCTTTATTAAGGAGCTACTGGTGTGTTGAACTAGGCACACACATTATATAAGCCGTGTGTGGTGGTGTCTGGGGGGAATTTTCTCTCTCTCCACTGCTGCTTTATTAGGTCCTGCTCACTCACTCTGTGTTGCCCTGCCTCACTGCAGCTTTCTGGCTGCAGCTCACAGCACTGGAGGTCTAATGTAGATTGACGCCTTTGCCAGAGGACTGATTGAAACTTGTGTCTCAGAGTTGCTAATGCTCACTCAACCATTTTATTGAAGATAAAGTAAATAAAATAGATTGCCATATGAGAATTCTCTGAAATCAAATGGAATAATTTGACAGGTTTAAGCCCATGAAAAAGCCTGAGCATTGAAACAGATGGGAATACTTTTTATGCACAATATACCAGGAAAAGGTGTCTACTGGCTTGCTGTTACACTGTTAATGGCTTTTACCAAAATTATAATTGTTGAAAATATCATTTCCATTGGTGTTTAAATTGTTACTTCTCTAAAACAGAGAGATTATTTTTAATATAAAAGTAATGGATATACTGATTTTAGTTTCGTATTGCTTCTGATAATTTGAGTGGTGATAGATAACCAGTCTCTTAAAATGTAATTTAAATAAATAAGAGTAAGTTCAGTATTTGAGAAAGTAATTCTGTGAAATGCAAAATAGGTTGTCACTTTATAGCTTTTTAGTAATCATTAAGTGACATAATTTTGAATATTACAGATAAAGTTGCTTAAAAAAAGCCCAAACATTTCTAAAAGTATAGCAATACAATACACAAGAACTATGAGGTGCTAAAGTTATTGTGACAAACTGCTCAGCATAATGGTCAACAAGTCCCAAATATTCTTCTCAACATTTTTATTTTATAAAGAATTTCTGTGCATGAGCATTGTAGTATGTCTCTGCTATTTTCAGAAAGAAGACAATACATAATAATATGTGTCTCAAGACACAATAGATGACATATAACTCTATTTTTATCTGGATGAAAATGAGTATTGGTCTTTTTAGTCACACCAATGGGCTCCTTCTTACTAGTTGGGCCATTTCTTCCAGAAAGCAAGACACACCTGTGTTTTAGTTTAGTATAATAAATTATGTCAAACTCAGAGTTAATAAAGGAAATAAATACAAAAGAAGTTAAAAAAATATCAGCAAAGTTGGCAGATGCAGCCTT